TTCATTCTGATTATCAGAATTACTTCTAACCACACAGGGGTTACAAAGTTGAAGGATAGTCCTCTCTGCTTGAAGGTACAAAACATGTTTTTTCCTGATGTGAATTTTGTAATGACAAAATAGAATGAAAAATAATCAGTTAAAACTGTTTAATAATTACTGCTCACCTATGTCAAAAATAAGGTGAGTGGATATCCACCACTTGGGCTAGTATATCTGTTAGAAAATAAATGGATAGGATGTAAAATGATGGGAATAAAGGCTAATAAGTCTGTTGTGATAGCTGGGGTTAATATTTTCGAGCAGCTGGCATGTTGGGGAACTGCAAGCTTTCTGAGCAAGGGAGCGCCCTGGTCAAAGCGGTGCTTGGGAGGATCCGTGTGCGGCAGAGTCCTGAGGAGGCAGAACCGCCCCTTCAGGACTTGGCCCCAGCCCTCACACGGAACATGCTCCCTCGTCATTTGTTGTGGGAGTGGCAGAAAGGCCAATGGAGAGGCTATTTTCATCCCGCGTTCCCGGGGCGAGGGCGAGGGCGGGGGCGGGGGCGGGGGCGGGGCGCGGTGGGGGTGGGCGGTGGGAATCAGGAAATAGGAAGCTCAGAGTAAGCGGTGACGCTGGGAATAGAGAGGGACAGATTCCTGAGAAGCTGTGGAGAAGAAACGGAGAAGGCCTGACAACCTGATTGAATTTAAGCAGGGAAGAAGGAAAAGGCCATAGTGGTCATGTCAGGAGAAAGCAGGGTTCTGTCCTGATGAAAATGTTCCGCAGGCAATCTGGTGGAAGTAAGTGTTAGGGCTACCCCGAGTATGTGGATTTGGGGACTCATCTTTGTGTACATGGCAGTTGAAACCGTGGAATAAAAAGAATAAAAGAGGGCTGATCTTTTGGGGCAAGGCTGCAGTAAGGAGTGGGGAGGCAGAGTAACCAGCAGTTGGCAAGGTGGGAAGAGAAATGAGAGAAGGAGAGAATTCTGGAATCCAGGGGAGTGATTATCTGTCAAATAGAAAAGCCAAGGAGGATGAATACCCAGCAAAAGAATTTTTAGTGTGCGGGTTGAGAATTCTTAGAGCTGATGGGATTGGGTTTTGTAGGGAAACTGGAGAAGGGCCTTAATACCCTAACAATCCTATTTATTGGCCTCTTAATTGGCTTAATTTTGGAAAGTAGTATGGCATTATGTTTAGAAGATTAATATACTGTTTATCATTTTGTAATTACATTTTTAAGGGGGGGAATAGAAAACATTATGGTCAGAGATGATTTTATTATATTGATTTATTTTTATTTTCTAAAGAATTTATTTATTTTTGAGAAAGCGATAGAACACAAGTGGGGGGCCAGAGAGAGAAGCAGACTTCCCACTGAGCAGGAAGCCTGACAGGGGGCTTGATACCAGGACCCAGGGCCAACTGAGCCACCCAGATGCCCTGCCAGAGGTGATTTTAATGCGGAGAAAGCAGTTGACAACTTATTTAGAGCGTGTATGTTTTCCATTTTTCATAGTTGAAAATTTTTTGTTCCTTTTAATTCAAAGCAGTTTGAATAAATAACACAAAACAGGTCCTTCCTTGAAAATGAATATGTCTCAGAGATGACATGTTGAAAATCATTTATTATATTAATGTTATTTCAGTTTTTCATGGATGTTTAAGAACTATTTATATGTAAGTTTAACATCTGAAAATAAGATATATAAAAATAAATATTGCAACAGTAAAATCAGAGTAAAAGGATTAAAGTGCCGTAGAAATTCAGAGGAAGGAGAGATTATTTTCAGGGGTGTGTGTGTGTGTGTGTGTGTGTGTTTTGAGGGGATTTGGGGAAAAGGTCTAATCAGAGTTAATAAGGGAAAGGAGTTCCAGGTAGAGGCAACCCTGAGCTCAGTGTAGAGCTGGGATCTTAGTGGGGACATGGGACATTTTTGTTTGGCTGAAGTGTGTTCCTGCAGTCGTGGGTGGAGGTGGTTGAAGGGAAGGTAGGGGAGAGAATGATGGAAAGATAGTTTGGGGCTGGAATTCAGAAGATGGCAGGAGTGTGAACTTTATTTGGAAGCAGCAGGAAGCCATTAAATATTTTTCAACAGAAGAATGACATCATCTAGGTGAATCTTTAGAAAAATGACTCTTGGGGCACCTGGCTGGCTCATTCACAGTGTGGGACTCATAATCTGGGGGTTGTGAGTTTGAGCCCCGTGTTGGTTATAGAGATTACTAAAATAATAAACTTGAAAAAGTTTTGTACTTTCTGTTATTTGAAATTTTAGTAGAGGTATTCAGTACTTATATCGCCAGCAAAAAATGATAAATGTAAAAGAAAAATGCATCTAAATAGTACCATTTAGGCTGGATTAGAAAGTGAGAAAGTAGATAAGGAAACCAATGAGGGAGGAGGTTTATGCAGTATTTACAACATGAATAAACCACAATCCTTTATTAGTAATTAGTATTAAATGTGTAGTATTTAATTAGTTAAGATTTTTGTTTTTTAAAGATTTACTTATTTTAGAGAGAGTGAGAGCGTCTGTGCATGAGCAGTGAGAGGGGCAGAGGGAGAGGGAATCCTCCAGCTGACTTCCCTGCTAAGTGCAGAGGAGCCCAGTGCAGGGCTTGATCCCAACAACCCCAAGATCATGACCTGAGTAGAAACCAAGAGTCCGCTGCTCAATCGACTGAGCTACTTAGGTGCCCCAAGTTTTTTTGTTTTTGTAAGTTTGGGCTTAAGTAGAAAAAAGGGAGCATTAAGGTCATTGGGTTGTCGTGTAAAAACCCAAGGCAAGTAAGGTTCTATAGCTGGGTTTCAGAAAGGTCTAGAACCAGGAGCTAAAAAGTTTTTGGTAAACCTCCCCTCCCTACTCCCTCTACTTTATTTCTCCAGGCATTCCCTGGATTCTTTTTTTATTTTTTTATATGTAAAACTGTCTCACTAATCTAACCTGAAGTTGGAAAATGGCCTTCCTCATGTCCTGTGTTACAGCCAGGGTTGGTAGTGGTGGGGAGAAGACCTTTAAGGTTCATGGTTTCAGATTCTCAGGGATAAGACTTTGATTTTATTATGCTCACAGATGAACTTGTGTTTACTTTTTTTTACCTAGTGCCAGTCAAATGTGGCCTGGAGAGCATAAGTACACTGTGGGAATTTACTTCTCTAGATTGGAGGGTCACTTAAGAGAGGTCAGCATAACTTAGGCAGAATGCCCGAGGGGTGTTTTTCTTGGTTTGGTTTTTTTTTTTTTTTTTAAAGATTTTATTTATTTGACAGAGATCACAAGTAGGAAGAGAGGCAGGCAGAGAGAGAGGGGGAGGCAGGCTCCCCACTGAGCAGAGAGCCAGATGGGGGGTCGATCCCAGGACCCTGGGATCATGACCTGAGCTGAAGGCAGAGGCTTAGCCCACTGAGCCACCCAGGCTCCCCCGAGGGGTGTTTTTACTGCAGTTAGCATTTTGAATTTTTACAGTTGTTTAATGTATTGGTTGGAAGATAGCAGACTACATTAGATTTAGAGAAGTAATAGGGAAATTGTGGAGAAATTTCCCTCCAGTAAGCTGTAGAGTGTGATTAAATTGAACTTTAATAAAACTGATTACTGTTCTGGGAATATGGGGTATACGGACTGAGAGGAGACAAGAGTGTTTGGGTGCTGGAAATGTTCTGGATCCTGATCTGGGTAGTTTAGTGATTATACAGGTTTATGCCTGTGTCAGAATTGATCAAGATGTGGGGCACCTGGGTGGCCCAGTTGGTTAAGCATCCAACTCTTGATTTCAGCTCAGGTCATGATCTCTGGGTTATAAGATCAAGCCCTGCTTTGGGCTCTGCACTCAGTGGGGGAGTCGGTTTGAGATTCTGTCTCTGCCTCCCCCATGTTGTCTCTGTCTCTCTCTAAAATAAATAAGTCTTTTAAAAAATTCATCAAGCTGTGTATACGTGATGTGTGAAAGCACTATCTCAGTTAAAAAGCTAGGTGTAGGGACACCTGGGTGGCTCAGTCAGTTAAATGTCTGCCTTCAGGTTGAGTCATGATCTCTGGGTTCTGGGATCAGCCTCCACATTGGCCTCCCTGCTCAGTGGGGAGTCTCTCTCCCTCTGCCTGCCACTCCCCCTGCATGTGCTCTCTTTCTCAAATAAATAAATAAAATCTTTAAAAAAAAAAAAAAGCTAGGCATATTTGACTTGTTTGGTTTATCTGCCTTCCCTTGTCATCTAGATGCCCAAATATCATTGGTCATCAGTTAAGTTCTCTTTAATTTAGGTAAATAAATTTCTTTAAAAGGATTTTATTTAGTTGCTAGAGAGAGAGAGAGCGCGCGTGCACACACAAGCAGGGGGAGCGGCAGGCAGAGGGAGAAGCTCTTCCTGCTCATCAGGGAGCCCAATGTGGGACTCCATCCCAGGACCCCAGGATCATGACCTGAAGGCAGACACTTAACTGACTGAGCCCCCAGGCATCCCTAGGTAGATTAAAAAAAAAAAATTTTTTTTAAAGATTTTATTTTTTTATTTGACAGAGATTACAAGTAGGCAGAGAGGCAGGCAGAGAGAGAGGAGGAAGCAGGCTCCCCGCGGAGCAGAGAGCCCGATGTGGGGCTCGATCCCAGGACCCTGGGATCATGACCTGAGCCGAAGGCAGAGGCTTTAACCCACTGAGCCACCCAGGCACCCCGGTAGATAAATTTTTTTTTAAAAGATTTTACTTATTTATTTGACAGAGAGATCACAAGTAGGCAGAGAGGCAGGCAGAGAGAGCGGGGGAAGCAGGCTCCCCGCTGAGCAGAGAGCCTGATTTGGGGCTCGATCCCAGGACCCTGAAATCATGACCTGAGCCGAAGGCAGAGGCTTAACCCACTGAGCCACTCAGGCGTCCCAGATAAATTTTTGATAGGTGTTCATCTCTCATGTAATTTCGAATGTTTCAGAAATGTAAATGTCATGGTGAGATTTTTAATACATGATATTAAAAAAGTAATGCTTGGTTTACTTTTTTTTTTTTTTTTCTGATTTAGGAACTGTGACTGATGAGAATTAAAGGCCATGGATGAAGATGGACTTGAATTACAACCACAAGAGCCAAACTCATTTTTTGATGCAACAGGTATAACTTGGGTTGTTGTACTTCCCAACTACCAGATTTGGAGTTGGCTATCAAGTGGACAAATTGCTAGACTCTCACATTGATACTCACACTTAGGTATATTTTTATCCTGTCACGCCTACATTTGTTAAAATGAGCACATCATTATTCCTGTCCTTAAAAATGTGTTTCCCTCATAACCAGCATTCGTGTTCTTCTCCATAATAGCAGCAGTATCAAAACGCGGGTGCTCCCTTCAGTTACTCGCATCTTGCCGATTTACAGTGCTGAGTCCGGTTATTTCTCCCTTTGAAAATGTTCCTTGCTTATATCTCTTCATTTGACTTCCTCCCCCATAGACGTTCTCTGTTGTCTCATTCTTAGTCTTTAGTAACTTTTAAATTCTTTTCCTTACCCTTAGTCTCTTTTGTCCAGCCCACCAATTAGAATACTGATCAAAAAATAACATGTGGATTGTATCATTTCTCTGTTTTCCATTACCCTGAAGGTAAAATATAAGCCCCAGGCCCTTCACGTTCTGACCCTGTCCTACTTTCATAACCATGTCTCTCACAAGGTGACAGAAGGAGCCCTCTGCTTCAGGAAGATGGGAGTCTTACCTCACTCTCCAAATTACAAGGACGATTAAATTCATGAAGTTCTAAAAGTAGGAAAAAAAAATGTATTTACAGTTTCAGGTCTCCCATGATTGCAGTTGTATAGCATTGTACAGTGATTATGTTAGGTTTTATAATGTAAAATGGTTTTTTATTCCACTAGCTAGCCACCCTTATAAATAAAACGTTGACTGGTTTTCCACTGGACTTAAAATGATCATATTGCCGTATATTAAAGAAATAGTGATTCACTTTATCAGGAAGTTAAATATTAATAATTTTAAATTTTAATTTTTCCTTCAATCCTCTTTAATCTCTAAATCCAGTGGGGGTATATGTATTTTTCTTAACAACTTAGAATAGTCTTTTAACTTACATTTGGTAACTTCAGTTTGATAATGATAAATGCAAAGGTATAATTCTCTCTTCATTAGAACAGGAAGTAGAATTAATGTGCTTGAAAGAGAGACTAAGCTCTTTGGAGAAAAACACACACTATTTAGTAGCTTAATCTTGCCACAAGTGAGCCTGGGTCATTGGCTAAGTGGTAGATTGAAGGGCTGTTGCATTTCAGCCCTGATTGTTAACACTTAATGGTGTTTGTTTATCTTTGAGCAAGTCACTTAATCTGTCAGGGCCTCCATTTTCATGTCCTAATAATAATGAAACCTCTCATTACAGTTTTTCAGAATACTTCCCATACATTCCCATTTGATCATCACAACAGTCCTGTGAGGTATGCATGGCAGATACTACTGTCCTCATTTGACTGATGAGGAAACTGAAACTCAGAGGTTAAATGACTTGCCCAAGGTCACAAAACGAACAAGTGTTCAAACTGTATTCTCTGATTTAGATTTTGTAACCAGTCTTCTTGCCACCAAATGCTCTCATCTTCATGTCTGTGAAATGGAGATTACAATGATCTTTTGCTAATGTTAATATTGAGAATATGGAAGATAAATGAGTATAAAGCATTTTGTGGAAGTTCTATAGAAATTAAAGCAGACATACTCTGTATTATTTCTAGATGTGATTAAAATGGATATTAACTGGCTGTAAGATTTCCTACATCTTTTTAATGATTTTTTTTTTGGCCCTTGTTAGTAATTCTTTGTTAAACAAAGCCATATGTCTCTGAGGACCTGGCCAGTGACCCACAATCGTTGAGTTAAGCAGCTGCTTGGACTCAGCCTGGTTTGAGTCACTTCCAGAAGCACCAGTCAACAGAATAGCATTTTAGGTTAAGACTTATAAAACTTTGCTTTTCTCTAGACCAGGATCCAAGATACTGGATTTGTTTTCTTTTATCCTATGTTTTTGGCATGGATATTTGATTTTGATTCCCATTTGTGGCATTCGTTCAGATTAATATTTACGGAGCACCATAATTGTGCAAACTGTGTGATCTTGGTGAAGTCATTTAATCTCAGCGGGGCTTCAATTGATTCAACCCTCTACCTTTATTCCTTAATTGCAGAGTGGACTAGAGTAAGGTTTCTTATATTTTGAGGAGCTGCCTGGGGGATTGGGTTATGGGGGGATAGAAGGAGGCTGGGTGGAGACCGAATACCCTGGTGAAGTTGGGGCAGGCACCATTCCAACTAACCTTGGCCTCCACCACTCCAGAGCAGCTGCACTTTTATGCATCTCATCTGTCCACAGAGACTCCTTAGCCAGTTGTCTTTTCTCTGTAACTGTGGCCTTGTAGCCCTCTTTTCATTTATGCCCTGATCCTTTTATATCCTAGATTCAGAAAATAATTTCTAAATTTCCACAGTCATAAATGGAGGGTATTGGTGAGCTACTGTTCTAGAACAAAGGGGGAGAAAGGGATAAAAATGGAAGGGGTGAAAACAAAAGAGATACATGGGAGAGGTGGAAAGATGAAAAAATATGAGCTGAGGAGAAAGAGATGGAACAAGAAGGAAAAAGAAATGAAAACACATATAATGAAGGAAAATGGTGTATTTGTCGCCTGAACTTGCATTACTTATTTTTATAATCATCCCTTAAGTACCTTTGCATATGGGATTAACTTTAGTGAGCCTAGAATTTTACTTTGATGATTTTCTGTGCGTGTGTGTGTGAGACTGTCTCGGGTGCCTTGTTTTTCTGTATTTCCTTATGTGTCAGTTGATTTGGGATGAGAGTAAAAGTTCTCGTATTAAAAATTTATTTTTCTAGTATGATTAAAAAATAGATTCCCTCTTTGATCTGTGTTAGTGTTTGAGAAAACTGAGGAGCTAATCTGTTTTACTGGTAGGAATTAAATAGTTTCTACGTTATTTGAGGTAGTCATGCACACCTACGTGTAATTTGTGATTTTAATTTTGTTTTTTTTTTTTAAGGAGCTGATGCTGCACACATGGACGGTGATCAAATTGTTGTGGAAGTACAAGAAACTGTTTTTGTTTCAGATGTTGTGGATTCAGACATAACTGTGCATAACTTTGTTCCTGATGACCCAGACTCAGTCGTGATCCAGGATGTTATTGAGGATGTTGTTATAGAAGATGTTCAGTGCCCTGATATCATGGAAGAAGCAGATGTGTCTGAAACGGTCATTATTCCTGAGCAAGTGCTGGACTCAGATGTAACTGAAGAAGTTTCTTTAGCACATTGCACAGTCCCAGATGATGTTTTAGCTTCCGACATTACTTCAGCCTCAATGTCTATGCCAGAACACGTCTTGACGAGTGAATCCATACACGTGTCCGATGTTGGACATGTTGAACACGTGGTTCATGACAGTGTAGTGGAAGCAGAAATCGTCACCGACCCTCTGACAACGGACGTCGTTTCAGAAGAAGTACTGGTAGCAGATTGTGCCTCTGAAGCAGTCATAGATGCCAATGGGATCCCTGTGGACCAGCAAGATGATGACAAAAGCAACTGTGAGGACTACCTTATGATTTCCTGTAAGTCTTGGGGTACCGTGATTGTCAAAGGTATTTTTGAAGGCTGTCTTTCCTAACTTACATCAGGGGTGAAATTTTTCTTGACTTCTATAAAATTAAAGTAAATCTCATAGATCTACCTGCATTGTTTCAGTTTGGAGCCTATAAGATAACCCAAAATTAAGAAAAGTGAAATGGTGCAGAGTAAAGAGGCGTTTCTCTATAAGGACACAATAGAAAGATGAGATTTCTTCAGTCTAGAAAGACAAAGATGGAAAGGAGTAGAACTGAACTTTCTGAAATCATGAAGGATCTGATTAGGCTGTTATGAGCCTTTATTAGAATTAGGAATCCTCTTGAAACTAAGAAGGAGTTCAACTTGGAAAAAAGTGTATAACCAAACTAACATTCTTGTATATGGATGCACAGTGCTACTTATGTACTACTTACGTACTTACTCTATTTACATGTGAAATGCTATTTCTATAACAGCATGGAAAAGAGCTCTGGCATAGTATTGAAACTTTAAATGATTCCAAAACGTGATTTCAAGTATGATGGACTCATAGTAGGTTATTGAAGAAAGTAAGGTGTTTTGGAACACACTTGAACATTTTTAACTTAACGTCTGGAAGGATAGCTGTGTCTTTTTACAACCTGTTTCTTGGTACCACTTTCAAAGATAAAATCCTCAATTGGATAGACCACAGTTCTGACCCAGTATGGGGATTCTTGTGCCTTTAGGAACTAAACGTCAAACAAAGACTCACAGACTATTTGCTTATATAAATTCACAAGACTGTTTGCTTTGCTTGAATACCTGTTACTATAGAGGAATTTCACATAACATATATTGGAGTCCACCAGCATTTTAGGAAATACCTTTTAAAAGCTCCCGATTTTGGAAATCGAGAATTCTTTGTGTGAAGAGGAAGAAAACGCCTTCATTGAACACATGTGTTTGGTTTCCCTACTCTGTGTTAGACATTGTTGTAAGTAGTGCAGATATGGATAGGTGATAAATAAAAAAAAAAACATAAAACCATTGTTGCTAGAGAGCTCACAGCCTATTGCAGGAGAGAAAGAGAGGTTGCACTGTGATGCAGAGACATGACCAAGTTGCTGTGGAGACAAGATGGAGTTGCTGACCTGAGCTCAAGGATGAGTTCTAGTTTTTACCAGGTGAAGAAGGGCACGAGTTGGGAGACATTCCAGGCAAATTGTATAGTATGTTTAAAAAGAAAAAGAAAAAAAAAAAAAAGTCCTCTGCCTTTGCTGGGAATGATGGGAACTTTAGGAGGTACTTGTATATCTTTGGGTACTTCTTCGTGAATTCATTAGAACAAATTTCTTGAAACAATTGCTAGATCAGAGGGCATACACATTTATAAGTCTGGTGATATTGCCTCAATATTCTGCCTAAGAATAACTCTCCCACCAGGTTTATGAGAAGATCCATTTCCCTACACAACTGACCAGCACGGTATTATTTTCCTTTTTAGTTTCTGCCAATCTCACAGGGAAAAATACGATAGCCATTTGAAGTTTGAGTTTATTTTAGCAAGATAATTTTGATAGTGATACAGAATAAGAATAGATGAGGGAGAGACTAGTGGTAGAGGTTAGTTGAAATGGTTTATTTATGAGATAAAGAAGATCCTAAGTGCCTTCATAGGAATGGGGACGAAAGGGGGAACTAGATTCAAGAGTTCAGGAAGTAAAATGAATGGGATTTGGTGACAGATATAATAGGGGTGGGGAGCTGAGGGAGAAAAAAATTCATGGAGGAGCCTAAGATTTCTGCCTTGGGGAATTGGGTGCCTAGGCATGTTGTTACCTGAGAGGTGGAGATTTGGTACAGAGAACGTGATTTAGGACCTGTTAGAAGTTAGAGTTGCTCGCTGGGGTCAATCTAATGGATGTTTTTTCTAAGCAGTTGCTAATAGGAATTTGCTGCCTTTTTTTTTTTTTTTTAAGATTTTATTTTTTTATTTGACAGAGAGATCACAAGTAGGCAGAGAGGCAGGCAGAGAGAGAGGGGGAAGCAGGCTCCGTGCTGAGCAGGGAGCCCAATTTGGGGCTCTATCCCAGGATCCTGAGGTCATGACTTGAGCTGAAGGCAGAGGCTTTAACCCACTGAGCTACCCAGGTGCCCCTGGAATTTGCTGCTTTTGAGAGGGTTTGTGGCTAGAGGAAGAAATTTGGGACAACAAGATACAGATAGTATCTCGTGTGGAAATGGGTGGTGGTTCCTCAGAGAGTGCTTGCAAAGTGACAAGTATGGGTCCTTTAGATATTCAATAAGTACATGGAGAAGAGCGCATGAAAATCAGGAGGTTTTGGGAAGTGGAGGAGAAAAATCTTTAGACATTTTTAATACTGTTAAAGATGAAAAGAATTTCTAGAATGTCATCACTGAAAGGAGATAGTGGACCTGTTCCGTTGAGCAATTAGGAGGTCATTTGTATCTTAATTAAAATAGTTTCAATACAGCATGGGGCAATGGAGAGGAGATAGAACGGTAATGGATTGAGAAGTTGGTGGAAGTGAAGTAGGTGAAGCGATTTGTATAAATGGCCATTTTGGTCCGGGAAGGGACAGAAGAGGCAACAGTATAGCTTTTGATGTTTGGCTGGATAGTGAAAGTGTGTTGAGCATATGTGTTGTCTTATATGTGCAGGACACAAACCATTGGATAAAGAGACTAAAGATAAGGGAAGGGTTACCAGGGGTTACCAGATGGAGCAATTCCAGAGAAGGGGGAGGGAATGAGGTCCAGGGCAGCCGTGGAGGGCTGCTGGGTGAGGCCTAGAGAGGAGGAGGGACTACCTTCTCTGAGACAGAGGCAGTAAAAGGAGCTTTAGAATATTGGGAGCAGGTGCCTGGCTGGCTCAGTTGGTAAAGCATGTAACTCTTTTTTTTTTTTTTTTTAAATAAATCATGTAGCTCTTAATCTCAGGGTTGTGAGTTTGAGCCCCACAGTGGGTATAGAGATTACTTAAAAATAAAATCTTTTAAAAAGGTAAATAAAGGGATGCGTGGGTGGCACAGTCAGTTGGGCATCTGCCTTCCACTCAGGTCACGATCCCAGGGTCCTGGGACTGAGTCCTGCATTGGGTTCCTTGCTCAGCGGTGAGCCTGCTTCTCCCTCTGCCTACCACTCTCCCTGCTCGCTCTCTCTGACAAGTAAATAAATTTAAAAAATAATTTAAATAAATAAATTAAAATGTTGAGAGCTATTTTCTTTGTGTGGCAAATTCATCTGCCAATATGTGATGTACAGAGGTTGGGTGGAAAGCTGAAGAATAGAGGTGACGAGTTGAAAAGCCTTAGTCTTAAAGGGAGGGACCCAGGCAGGAAGCTTAAGAACTTACAGGATAGATTATTTAGCTGCGTTGAGGGCCTGGCTGAGATTGGGAGTCTTTAGTTTGTATGTCATATGTGCCATTCAGTGTGAAAACACCATTTTGAAAACAACCACTACCAGATTTTCTGTTGTAAGACCAGGCAACCCAGAGGCAAGGCTGAAGAAAGTAAGGAGTTGGGTTCATCGTACTTTATGAGGGCAAAGGGCAAAAAGGATCTGGTGAAATATTTAGGAGACAGCACTCTTGGTTCTCCTTGACTTCCCTTTTCATTGAAACTTGTTTGCTAAGGAGTAAAATGTATAGCATTGGTTTGACCTGTAGCTTCATACTCTCTCTTGCCTTCTTCATTACTCTTTTAGGAAGTTCAGCCCTCCAGGAATGTCATTAAAAAAACCCACCAAAAGTTGATTTAGTAAGGGTTGACATAGTATACTAGATTCTTTTTTTCTTTATTAAGATTTTATTTATTGAGAGAGAGAAAAAGAGCACACAAGCAGGGGGAAGGGCAGAGGGAGAAGCAGACTCTCCACTGAGAGGGAGCTGGACACAGAGCTCATCCCAGGACCCTGAGATCGCGACCTGAGCTGAAGGCGGATGCTTAACCGGCTGAGCCACCCAGAGACCCCAGTATACTAGAATACACTGTATTACAGAGTCCAGACTTACAGAATTTTCATTAAAAATCTTACAGTCCTCTTTCTTTTGGTCCCTGGGTTTCTGCTATTTTATATAGATTTTAATGTTCCTTAAAAAGCAAATAAGGATGGATACAAACTTATTGTTATGTATTTTTATATATTTTATATATGTATATAAGTTAACAGTACAGTGATAGTTTTTTCTTTTCTTTTTTTTAAAGATTATTTACTTTAGAGATAAAGAGAGTATGTGGGGGGGGGGCAGGCAGAGGGAGAGAGAGAATTCTTAAGCATACTCCCCGCTGAGCACAGAGCCTGATATGGGGCTCAGTCCCAGGACCCTGAGATCATGCCCTAAGCCAGAATCAAAGAGTTGGCCGCTTAACCGACTGACTGACCCACCCAGGTGCCCCTATTCCTTTCCTTTTAAAATAGAATGTCACATCCAAGCTCAAAGAATACAGAACACACGAACACACACACACACACACACACGTGCATGCAAACACACACACACACACACACACACACGTGCATGCATTACCTAATCCCCCTATATTACTATAATGAAAAGGTTTGATTACTGTTATTTTAAAAATTTTTTTTAAACACTATTTATTTATTTTTGGGAGAGAGAGAGGGAGAGAAAGAGAAAGCATGAGTGGAGGGGCTGAGGGAGACAGAGAATCCCAAGCAGACTCCATGCCAGGCCGGGAGCTCGACACAGGGCTTAATCTAACGACCTTGAAATAATGACCTGAGCTGAAACCAAAGTCGGATGCTTAGCCAGCTGTGCCATCCAGGTGCCCCTGATTGCTTTTAAGTTGGGTTTAGGGATGGTGACTTTGGAGGGGGTGATGGTGCCTTATGGTAGTATCTGTTGTTCTTTTGCAGATACTTCATTTTTCCTCCATTCCATACCATCATCCCTTTTCCTTTCAAAGTATAGTCACGTTAAAAATTTTAATTTACTACTGGCTTTGGAACAAACCAGTTGAACGCTTTGGAATTAGCA